CCAACATTTTAAAATGCAGTTTGCAGTGGGAATGAGGTTTACATCAGATCAGTGCTCCCTTTCATGTGCATTTGTGATCACTAACATCAGATTTACTGTGCTGTTAATCCATGGACCCTGCAGGGACAGGTATTTTGAATGAATGAGGCAGGTTTGATAAAGCCATTCTGCACATTCATGATTTTCTTTCCTAATAAAAGAACAATATTTTCTGTCAGGATCTGATCTTGTGAAGGGAATCCAGGTGGTTATCCCTACTTGGACTCTTTCTCAGATCAGTGGAAGACAATTTCCCATGTAGGACGAGCATCTATGATCAGTCTGATCCCAAACATTTATGCCTGCATTTCTTATTGAAGATGACCAAAGCTGGGCACAGGCACCTTTGAAGGTCTCTTTAGCACTTCAGGCAGGGGCCTGGCTCAGGAGAAACCAGCTGATGGTGATGTGAAGGAAGCATAGCTGGAATATCATGTAAAACATCACCGCTGATGATTTGATTTTGCCCTTTTCATAGCCTTGTTTTCTGCGTTCCTCTTGTTGCAGGAGCTCAGATAGATGACAACAACCCCCGCCGCACTGGACATCGCATCGTGGCACCTCCTGGTGGTCGTTCTAATATTACCAGTCTTGGCTGAAAAATGGTGATGGACAGAAACACGAGGAGGAAGGATCATGGGAATAACGTACATTCCCTTCAATATCTGTGTTACTGAACCCACAGTTTTACTTGGTACTAATGGAAATAAAAAACAAAATGTCCTTTTTTTTTTAATTTTATTTTTTTTTTAATTTGTATAGAAAGAGGTGATAATAGTGTGGTGTGTTTGCTTGGAACTACTTGCCTCACAATTGTGCTTTCATGCCATAGTCACCTTAAAGCATGGTGCTTCCATTGCCCCTTTAGTGACCACAGGTTTTAGCTTTGTCTCGTAACTGAATGATGGTTCCTTTGCACCCTTTTGCTGTATTAGAATAGTTAATGCATGTTACTGAGTTATTTATGCAAGTTGCATTCTGTGAGTGAGTCCCTATAGAACACGTTGCCAACAATTGACTAGACGCAATGCCAAGATTAATGTCTGTATTTGATAACCACCACTAAAAACACCTATGAAGGAAGAAAATGGCCATCTTGAAAGTCTGCAGTAGAGTAGTATAGGCAGCTTCTGTTTTATCTTTAATTTATTATAAACCCACGAAGCACTTCTCTCGGACACAGAAAATCATCAGGACAACTAAATGACAAATGGTCTCCGTAGCACCTGTCTGTACCCACTCAGTACGTTCCAAGTCTGTGTCTTCATCGTTTCCATTTTAGACAGCGCCATACTTTATACAAACCAATGCCATTGCCACCCCTGCAGGGATTTCTCCACCTGGGCAGTAGTGCTCTCCTTCTGCATGAGTTTTTTGGTACTTACAGATAATTCAAGTTGCCGTCGGATTTTTAAAGTTTTTTGTACAAAGTTTTTCCTTTGTAATCACATGCATTTTTACTTACTCTACCGTATCAAGATCTACTAGTCGTGGTTCTATTTCTGAATTCAAAGCTTGTGAAATAAAGGAAATTAATTGATGGATAAGTGTCTTCCTCTGCTTTCTGGTGCTGTTGCTCAATGATGGAAAATTTTGGGTGGAGAAACTCATGAGAAATTGTCTTTTAGGTTGGCATCATGTGAAAGAAGGAAACACCTTAGATAACAAGGGACATCTAAGTATAAATTTCTGCATATGCATACCATAGCATGATCTAATCTGTCTTAATTAAATAAGAGTTTGCTGTAAAAGATATACTTTACCATTTATCTTGCAGCTGTCTCAATTTTGGCCAAGGGAGACTTAAATTAGCTTTCTCCCAAGATCTTTAGTAGTTGATTGCCATCATCTTCATCTGTAGTAGAAAACCAATAAGAAATGCTCCAGTTTCACCTAAGCTGTATATGGCTTGGCATTGATTTTCTTGGTGCGCTCTGTGCTGAGCTGAGCTTGGACAAGCTTGCCATGAACAAGACATGATCCAGAAAAGGTGAGAAAAATGGACTTATACGACCTCTTTCTATGAGAGCTGTAGAAATGCTTTCACTCTGTTTTTCTGGTTCTCTCACAGACTCTGTAGAAGAAACATTTTTTGTCACTTTTTAGTTGTCTGATTGTGTTGCAGATGTGGGAAGTGTGAGCTACAGTGGAGGATGGGTGCTATGAAAGTGAGCAGGTTGGCAAAGCTGCTGCCAACCACCCACTGGCCTTGTGCCACTTTGCCCTTTCCTACACTACCTAACTGCAATAGGAAAAGTACAGTGGCAGCACGGTGCCACTGGAATGATTTTATCTGGTTGTGATACTTGACCACTTATTGCTGGTCTGTCCTTTCCATGCAGCAACAAGCTGTTGGCACAGGGTGTGTGGTGCATGTCAGGTGCATGTGGGACATGAAAGTTTTGGAGTACAGCCTACCTGAAGCCTGTCATTGTATCCTGAAGCCAGCATGCTGTCACCTCCAGTATTACCAGAAAACGAATCACAACCTACAAAACTATTTCTGTCAGCTTGGTCTGAAGCCTGGCATCAGGGCTGGTCTGAATAGCCAGCTATTCTTTTTGCTTTGGCTTTAATCTGAACTTATGAAGAAACACCACAATTCAGCCTAAAGTGATCTGAATTGATTCTGTTTCCAAAATAAAAGAAAAAAAAAAAAGCCTTTCATCAACAGCAAATATAAATATTGTGCTTGTAAAAAAATATTTGACTCTCCATGCCAAGAATTCAAATTCATGTTTCCTATTGCCTAGAGAATACTCTTATCCCTAGGCTTGCGTAGTATTCAGTCTACAAGGCTTTTCTTGTTAGAGGTGAGAGAAGGAACTGCTGTGTAACTAGTACTGACAGATTCCACTTTTCTACGTGCAAAACATAGTCCTAAACCAAAGAACCCTTTGTGTATAAGGGTCAAATTCCACTGTTGTTAACGCGTATTTGTTTCTTCCTGTTAAAGTATCTGTGAATAAATATACCTACGGGTGTTTGAAGCACTTCATGGATCAGTGGTTCTATGTGAACAACACTGTGCTCGTCAGGCCAGTGTAATTCTGGGATTTCTCCGAGGAGAAATGTGCTAGCAGGTCCGTCATGTTCAGAAGCTCCCACAGCCTGGCCACACTCCAGTGCTGCTGCTTAGGGACAACCTGCACTGAGCCCATGCTGTGCCTGGGTCTCTCCACCCTGGATAAGCACTGCTTCCTGCATGTAATTTAAAGATATCTTCTTTATTTCTGAGTACAGGGAACTTGCTTCATGGTCCCCATCCTGGTGAGGGATGTTACTGCAATACACCATCAGAGAGCTAGCTACACGTGGTGTTCTTCTGGGAGCTTTAAACAAGGTAAGTGGTGCATCTTTCACCATCCCAAGGCCTATTTCACAGCAATGTCCCATCCCATGTGTTGCTAACCTATCCTTGAAAAGAATAAAACTGTAGCAAACAGAAATGAATTCATTTCTGATCCTAAATACGAGTGCAGAATAGGAACCTATACTGGTATGTGCTCCCTTGTAGAAACACTGAGCTGGTCAATGCTCAGTGTCTGAGCATGTGCATGGGAGCAGTTATCTCCTTGCTTTATTCTTGTAGTTTGAAGTTGCTTTCATGCTTTGTGAATTGTCAAACTAAAAATTTGTAGCAGGGCTGTAACTTGTCTTAAAACTATGAACGAGGCTGAGCTGTTTTAATAGCTGTTAGCATTAATGTTAGGGAGAAAAAAAGGTGTGCTTTTCCTTACATTTTTGGCAGCACTTTTGTGAGTATCTATAAAGCATGATCAAAGCTCCTTATGAGCCTTTTCTGTATAAACTAAAAGAGCTGTACACTACAAAGCAGGTGTTTTGAGCTGTATTTCCATTTTCCCCTATCTGACATCCATTATGCTGGAGACTGCCCTCAGCTGGCAGAACTGTTCAGCCATCTCCCACAGACTCTCCAGGCACAATCCCTGGGTCACAAGCTATTTCTACTGCCTCTTAAACACAGGAAAGATACAAAACAGAGAAAAAACACTAAAAAACTCGGTAACAGATCAGTAGGAAGGTACATGAGACTCACATTGAGACTCACGTAGCTGGAGGTCAGCTAGTCCAGCCTATTTCAAGCAGGGCTAACTTCCAAGTTAAAATTGGTTGCTTAGGACCTTGTCTAGCTGGGTGCTGAAACTATTCAAGGATGGATATAACAGAATCACAGACTTGTAGGGACGTATGGAGATCATCCAGTCCAACCCCCTGCTAATGCTGTTCCCTAAGTAGGTCACATAGGAAAGCATCCAGGTGGCTTTTGACTGTCCTCAGAGGAGGAGACTCCACAAGCTCTCTGGGCAGCCTGTTTCAGTGCAGTCACCCTCAAAGTACAGAAGTTTTTCTGCATCCTCTTTGAATAACCTGTTGGTGGCAAAGATATTTTCCTCCTGACCAGAAATGGCTTTAAGTTGCACCTGGAGAGATTCAGGTTGGATATTAGGAAAAATTTATTCTCTGAAGAAATGCTGAGACATTGGAACAGACTGCTCAGGGAGGTGGTGGAGTCACTGTCCTTGGAGGTGTCCAAAAAACATGTAGATATGGCACCGAGGGATGTGGTTTAGCGGATATGGTAGTGATGGGTTGATGGTTGGACTAGATGATCTTAATGCTCTTTTCCAACTTCTTTGATTCTATGATTTTATGACCTTCAGCATCTAGAGACAGCTCAAGACTGTTAATAATGGCTAAAGTTGAAAAATATAATATACAGAGCTTAAATGAACTGTTGTGAGATCAACTTGGTGTTGCTACACTTGTTTCTCGGCCAAATGAAGATCTCTCACAAACTGTGAGACCTGCATGGAGGCAGGAGTTAGACTCGATGATCCTTATAAGCCCCTTCCAACTTGGGATATTCTATGATTCTATGATGCTCCTTCTTGTTCAATACCTGCATCACTTATGGAAAACTATTGGGAGTGCCATGCCATGCATGAAATCTGTACAGGACTTTTACCAAGGCAATGAATCAGGGGTGTAATGCAAAATGACTGAAGTTAGTAACACTTGATTTTTATTTGTCATGAAGCAAGGTGACTTGGTGAGAGAATAGGAAAAAGGGCACTTTGCAGAGAGCCCAGAGAAAGGAGGACAGAAAGCAGGCAGAGACACAGCCCTGGTTGGCTGGGTCTCACCTTCAGGGACTGAGAGGAGGTGGGCTGGGGACTCTCCTCGGCAAGCAACTGCTGCCCTCCAACAGCAAGGGGACGAAACCCCAAGGGCTGCCCGGGAGAGGGCACTGCTGCCCTGCTTTTGGGATAAGACAGAGAGAAAGCAACGCAAGCCCTGCCTAGTGGAATGAATCACACAGTGCATCCGGGTAGACTGCTGCATTCTGCCTGTGACTGGAGCCTCTGCTACACTGCATGGTTTAAAACAGTATCTTCACAACATAATCAACTCTATTATTAAAAGCTTCCTTCTTGCTATGTGTACAGAGTACACTGAAGAATTATGGTATTCAAACAGAAGGAAACAGGCTGCATCCATTTGAAGATAAATCACATCAAACGGGCAATTAAAATGTCTCCATCAGTAAGGCAGAGGGACCATGGAAAATGATTGCTGAAACAGCAGAATCTAATGCTTGAAGTAGTATAATACAGAGAAAAAGATTTTGATAATGACTGAAGTGAAAATTAACAATTTAACAATTGTGTGTAACGTGCCCAGTAAAGTCATTTGTGTGGCGGCACTTTTATCCGAGGTAAACTGCTTTGCTGATGTAGTGTTTTACATCGAGTGCCAAAGGACAGCCCTTTAGTTAGGAAAATATATGTTAATTTTAAGAAGGCAGAAAACTTCTATTTCACAAAAGCTGTAAGACCACTTAAGTAGGGCAATTTATTACAAGATACAGGTGCTCTGTGCAGCCAGGGAGAAAGAGCTGCTTTGCATGACAAGAAAAATTCCCATATGGAATGTAATGAGAACAACAAAGTGCACTGAAAACAAAAGAGTTTACTTAAGGAATTAGAATATAAAATGAAATATAAGAAAATGAAACAGTGGATGAGATTTGTCTCAGTCTTTCTAAAAAATAATCAAAAATCTGAGATAAACAATGGGAAATAGATTTACAAAAATCTTTGTACAAATTTTAAAGCATACCTTACCTTGGAAGCATTAAAATAAAACAAGGGAAAGACAAATTTAATCTTTCAATTTACCAATAGAACCTGAAGTCTCTTTACCTAGTCTTTAAATTTCTACCTATTTCTGTTAGTCCAAAGCAGTGACCACAAATACTGAGACCAAATCCAGCACATTTCAGGCTCAAAACATCAACATTACAATGAAACCTTACTGCGATGTCCTGACCTCAGCAGTCTAGGGTGGATTGGTTCTGCATTTTCCTCAGGTATATTCCTCATTTAAAACTATCTCCCCTTCATGTTTCCCACACCGTCTGGAAGAGCTTAAAGAATTCTTTGTTTCCCCTTGCCAAGGCTAAGTGAGAATGTTGGGATTGATTCTCAGTCTGTAGCTAAAGAAGATTTCTCGGTTATTATTGATGTTCTTCATTGTTCCTCACTAAACCAGCTCAGTGAGTATTTATAGCTGCTGAGATCTCCCAGAAGAATGCTTTGGTACTCTGTGTTCAGACAGCTCATATAAATACTTCGACTACCTGTTGCCTCTTTTTTTTAGCATCTTTGTGTTTTTCCTTGGTTCAGTCTCCCCTTCGTGTGGCCTCTCTGACCTTTCTCTGAAAGAAATAAACGAGAGAAATAAAACAAAACTGGAGACCAGGTTTTTCAAAGGCTACTGTTCTCTCTTAAACTAAATTCATTTTGAGAGCACTTGCTCTATGATTATAACTGCTGCACTCGCTGGTTTCAGCTGCCTCTGTTGAGGCTGCCAAAACAAAGTTGCATAAAGATAAATGTTCCTTTGTAGTGTCCCTGTTCCCTACACGCGTATCCCTTGTTGGCTGTGGGAAAGGAGTGTGTGAAAAGAGTTGATGCCATCGGGGAAAGGAGCCATCTCCTGAAGTCAGTCCCAGGCTGAGGTCACTCAGGGGATAAATACTTTCCCCCAAAGGCCTGTGGCTCTGAGAACTAACTGTTTGCTTTGCCTGTCAACAGGATTTTCTCTGCTCAATATATCAAGCCCCAGCGACCAGCTGGCTGGTTTGATCTGCCCGTAGTAATCAGCTGGCATCTTTCAGGTTTGTAGCCGTTTCTTCTCCTCTAGTTAGCACCCCAGCATAAGCCAACTGAAACATCTATCAAGAAAATCATTGTTGGAACTGCTACCCTCATCAGCCAAAGACTGGCGCTTGCCTTTGTTGAAGAAATAAAGTGGTAGTTGAAAGCCTAAATACCTCAGACCATATTTCGGTTGCTACAAGTCAACTTAGTTCCATTGGGTTCAATGGTCTGTGCTGATTTATGCTGTCTGTGGCTCAGGTTTTTAAAAGTCTAATTAAAGGAAATTTGGAAAGAGTATTTCTCATTTATCTGCTTAAAATCAAAGTTATTGATAAGATCCGTAACAGCACAGACAAGCAAACTCCGATGATTTTCCTAATTTAGAAAAGGATAAAAGAAAAACAATTGTCAAGTACATGTGAGAAACAAGTGTCAAAGATTTGCTAGTGTAGGTGTTATATTTTGGTTTTGATTGGCATACCTGCTTTCAAAGTAGATGTTGTACTATTTTGTGTAAATAGTTTTTTTACAATGCATTTTTTTAGCCTATACTGTACCTGCACAAACTGGAATTCAGTCTGAGGGGCTCTTGAATATTTTCGTAAGAATCATCTTTGTCTTCCGATTCTGGAGACTTTAAAGTCCCTCTTTTTGAGTTTGAGTTTGTTTTTTCCCCTGAATTACCAAAGACATGAATTAAAAACTAAAAAAATCACAGATATTAGAACTTTTTATTCTCAAGCAAAAAAACCCCAAACAAACAAAAAAACCCCAAGAAACCAAAAAACTAAAAGCAAAGCAAAACAAACAAACAAAAAACCTCTACAGCAATTTCTAACATAGTAACACTTTACACAGATAAATTATTATGGCAAAAAAATCGCCCCACTTTATGTGAGCCTAGAATATACTTTTTTATTGTAAATGCTCACAGAGTGGACTTCAACTTTTAAATTTGCTGTACACTGATTTATGTTTCTATGAGGGGCAACCACTGAAAGTGTCTCTTGAATAACGGATGAGTCTAATCTGCTAAAGGTGCAGTAGATTCATATAAATATTTCAAGTTTTCCAGTTAAATAAGATTTTACTTTTGAGTATGTGTGTGGGAAGGCTGATTCTTCCATTCTTCCATTCTACCAAGTGAAGGCTGAGCGATTCAGCCCTGTTCTCCTCCCAAAAATGTAGTGAACAAGGTAAACAGAGTCCTTTAAAGTACATCATAAAGATGTGAAAAAAAATTGAGTTTGTGCAAGGTAAAGCTTTACCTCATGGTACTTATTGGTTAAGGGGCAGCTTTGGAGTGGGAACAGACACATTTATTTGTAATTCAGGCACCAGCAAGCTGGATGACCACGGAAGCTCACTGTACTTTTTTTCTATATCCCAATTACCTCATATGATGAAAAAAAATCTTTCCCCAAAACTCTGTTGTGACATACTGCACCATACTGAACAGAGTAAGTGGAACTGTGTGTTTTTTAAGACTCCTGGATTGTACCAACCTGCTGGCTTGCTTCTTTTGGACAGCTGCTTCTTCACAGTGACAGGAACTCGAGCCAGTGCAGCCAACTCAGTAATGAAGTCCCATTCTGCTTCCTGCACATGAGGATAAAGCAGCAGTCAGTTAACAACAAATGGTTTGATTCTGGGTTATGTTATCCTACATATGGTGTGACAAAAGCATTCATGTTATTGCAGAAGCATGGGAAACAATATGGTACGGCTTCCCTTTAACAGCACTTGACACAAACATGCTGAGAGCATCTGATGAAGAGCAGGAGATGTGCTGTGAAGCCTGGCTAGTCACATATACGTGGCATTTGAGCCTCACCCGCCTTGTCTTGGCTGTGAACTCAAGCACACTGATGTACTAGTAAGGAGGTTGAACAGACTCCATTTGATTAGACAAAAATGTTCAAGTAACCAAAAAATAAGCCTGAACTTGCAATAGACATGACGCAGAATCATCAACAAGTAAGATAAAGAATATAATATGTCCCTCATTTTCCAGGTTCTCTTTATAGGAAATAGTTTCAGGCTGTTAACTGCCTGCCTGTGTTACTGGTTCCTGAGCTTCAACGGTGAATCTCTGCACTAATCTCAACTGGGACAGCAAAAAGACCCTTACGACCTGTCAACCAATGAGTGGAACAACAGACGCTTTGTCACTGACTGATTCAGGTTGGTGAGTCATGTTATCCTGATTTACCTTCAGCTGATTCTCCATCTCACTTTGTAGGTGATGCAATCCCAGCAGCTTCTGTTTCAGAAACTCCAGACGAATTTGTTGGTGCAGTTCAAATTGAGTCAGAACCTTCTTCTGCTGCAGCACCATTCTGGTAGAGGGAAATTTGAAAGTGGCCATGTTGTTCAGGATCACAAAATCATAGGGGTTGGAAAAGACCTCTGGAGATCATCTAGTCCAACCTCCTGCTAAAGCAGTTTCCCTCAATTCAAGACAGGAATACAATGCTGGTGAAGTGCAATCAGAAGATTTTGTAGAAAGGCTGATTAGCAGTTTCAGCTATCAATATCATTCAGTTTCTGCTGTGAGAAACAATTTTGCTGCAGATTTTTAATTAGTTTTCCCTATTTTAACAACGTGCCTTGGGTCACCACAGTACACAAGCTCCTTTCTAAGGCTGGAACTGCAGCATTTAGGTTTGTCCATGCCTGGAGCTCAGCTCTAATTTTGAAGTCTTTTTTCAAAACCATTCTATGTTTTCTGCAATGAATTAAGTTAATTTTGCTATCTGCATGCCAAAGAGACAAGCTGTTAGAGGATCAGGTATGAGGATAAGGGATTAAGAATTTGCCATTTCATTCAGAGCTTTTTAGTATCAGGTTGACACTGAGCCAGAAACATGATAATTAGAAACCTGGTGTTGGGAGCATTGACAACTATATTCTTCACTTGTTTTATTTTGCTGGTAAAAGATTAGTATTAATATAGTATAATCTGAATGGCTGCAACTTTGCTAAATCTGTAAGTCTCCTGCTCTCTTGCCTGGCCTACCTTGAAGCAAAACTGTCAATCACTCATCGCATTCCTTGGGGAAGGAGATAACACAAATTGTTTCTGACATCTCCACACAATGCAGTTTCTGTCGTAATGGTCAACGCTTACAGAAGGTTACCTTACAAAATTTGCTCTTTGAACTCACACTTTCAACCTTCCAAGGGCAAAAGCAAATAAAAATTTCCACTGAGTATAAAAGGAATTAGATAATGGAAATTCTGTCATTGATTTAACATCCTGGAAGAATTTGGGATTTCCTAAAAAAAAATTATAATGGCAACATGAAACTGAGTTTTGACTAGTAGTTATGAGATCAACTTAGATGCAAAATAGTTGCATCTTTAATACCCTATTTTCTAACTGAATGCAGTCCAATTTAATTATATTTTATTTTGAACTAGTAGAATAGATTTTGGATGAAAAAATCGAAGGGAATTTACGTGTCAGAATAAGTGATGGGCTTGATAATGAACATCTAACATATTTTCTGAAGCCCTTTCCTAGATGAATTTATTTCTACACTTATTCAAACAAGGATGAAAAACAGGAAGTAGCAGAATGTTTAAAAATGAATTAACCACTTTACAATGTCAAAATTGCACATGCAGTGTTACTTTGGATAATAATGAATAAAGAAGTAAATTAATTACAAAATATATATTATGTGCATATCATTTTGCAAGAGCTGCAGACTTATACCTTTATAATATAGATTTTTATGACAATTAATTCTTTGGATTTACAGTGCTTTTTGTCCAGTCTAAACTCCATAAAATCAATAATATATTAAAAAATATTTTTATCTAATTAACATCTGAAGCGTTCAAGCCTAAATTTTGTGCAAACAATCTCAGTCATCAAAGACATTCAATGAAATCCTCTTGCCATTTTGAATATTATTCATCTTTCAAAAATGTTATCTTCATTATGGGATATATTTACTCAACAGCAAATTAATATGTACTTTTTATATTTAAAGCAGAAAAGATGGAATATAATTAATTGGACAACAGCAATTCCCATTCCACATTTACACTGAATTTCTTTTAAAATTTGGTGTATGTTTTGGCATTGCTTTTCATTCTGTCTTTCCAAACTGTCTCTATATATAGTTCTTTAGTCTGTAATTAATGAGTACCAAAAGTTCTATTTAATAAGAAAGCAATTCTTTGAGATCAATGGGTAGAAAAATTTGGCAACAGATGCTTCTTTTCCATTGAAGACAAAATATTAAACGTAAATCTAAAACATTTATTCAACTAGACACTGATATAAATCTGCTTAAGTCAAAACATTTAAACAGCCAGCAGTGCTTCTGCTTGCTCTTACCTTTGGTGGACTGTGGATGATACATTCAGGATCCCTTTGGTCTGTTTTTCTTTCAGTGCTTGTTCATTCTCTTCTTTCTTCCTAAGTCTGTACCTTTCACTTCTTTCTACTGAAATAGAATAGAATTTTTGTAAAATCTGCTGCTCACAATTACAAACTCTGAGTTCTGGCAATCAGACAATCCATGTTTTGCATCAGTACAAATTAATCCCTGTTCTAGGTAGTCTTTCCAAAGTCATCGCTCCTTGAAGATCTTAAGCACTTATTACACATGCTTGCTCTGCCACTGTGATTTTTTGTACCATCAGACATGAGGTTGTGCATTGTTTAGCTGAGATGGTAATGTCAGTGAATTCCCAGTGAATTTGAAGGAGAAATTTTATGAAAACATTGCCAGACAAAAAAACTCTCAAATACTCTGAGGCCTGAGAATGCTTAACACTGCACTTCCCTTCACTTGAAGGTGAAATAATTTCAGTACTTCTGCTGACGCTCACACTCTGTAAGTAATTTCTTTATCTGCTGAGAGGGGTCTTGAGCCTTGCCTTCAAAGTCCTGCCTGGTAGCAATTTGCTGGATATGCTTTCCTCATACCCACTGTTGTGGACCACTGCATTTTTCTAAAACAAAGAGAGAAATGGATGGGTATACATAACAAATTAAGCTACTTAACATTCATCTGGGGAGCATATGACTTGTTCTGAATGCTGGGAGAGGATGGCAGGCGCCTCTGAGGCTGACACAGTATTTGGTGAGGGGAATCACTCTCTCTCTGCGTAGCAATCATGCTGGGAAATCTCCTAACAGAACAGGCCCTTCTAAAAGTAAAGAAACATGTATGCCCTGTCTCCTGGCTGGCTGACAGGGCTTAGCCCAGCTGTTAAGAATCACAGTGGAAAATTTCAGTGCTTCTGGGGGCAATACAACAGCTGAAAAGGAAAGGTATGGGGCCTGCATCACAAATTTGGACTTAGGTTAAAAAAGAACTTACATGTACAAGAGCATCAAAAGCTCTTATTAGACCTATTTCTCTCTCCTAATACGTGAAGTACCAACAAAGCAGAAGTAGTTACTTGCTGTTACTGAAAAACAGGGCCACGTTAGACCATGAACATGTATCTTTGCAATATTTTTCACTGTATTAGTTCATTTAAGCTTTCAGTTTCAGCTTAGTTTCTCTTAGACCAAAAATCTCAAACACTCTTGTGTTTACTACCAACATAAATATTCTCATCTTCCCTCATGCCTGCAGGCTTATACTGCAGGAGAGAGAGAAATTTATTTTCCTTCAGTTGAAAAGAAAATGTGCTCTTTCAATAGCTGCTTACACACACAACTTTCTTTCTCATAGTTCATGGAATGCCAATTCATTGAGACGATACATCCACACAAACACTAGGAGAAAAAATGATATAAAGATTAGTGATCAGAAGACTCTCTGTGTCTCTAGTGACTGGTATTCCAGGTCTTTCAGACTACGTGGGAGACGAGTTAACAGCAATATGAAAACACCAATGTAAAAAAAACAGTCATGTATGTAATGACAGTGGCATCTCAGCTCACATCAGAGAAGTATTTAGCAGTGGGCTTCAGTTTTAATTCCTGCTTATCACAGAATGGCTTAGACTGGAGAGGACCATGAAGATCATCTAGTTCTAACCTCTCTGCCATGGGCTGGTTGCCATAGACTAGATCAGGCTGCCCATGGCCCTATCCAACCTTGCTTTGAATGCCTCCAGAGATGGGGCATCCACAACCTCTCTGAGCAACCTGTTCCAGCATCTTTCTACCCTCTGAACAAAAAAATTCTTCCTAACATATAAACTAAGTCTACCCTTTTCAGTTTAAAGCCATTTTCCCTTGTCCTATTGATATCAGACCATGTGAAAAGCTGGTCCCTCTCCTGCTTGTAAGCTCCCTTCAAGTACTGCAAGGCCACAATGAAGTCTCCCCAAAGCCTTCTCTGGGGAGAAGAGCCAAGCTAAACTAGTCCAACTCCTTCAGCCTTTCTTCATAGGAGAGTTGCAACCAACCCAAATCAAAGGAATTTTAGACTGTTTGTAGTCAGCTAAATCAAGGTCAAAGAGATCATCAGAGAGACTTAATGAGAACACAAATAACTGACTGCCTTGCTGGCTGCCAATGTCTAAAACACAGGCCATCAAACATCCCTGCACAGATTTTGCCTGTTACTTCAGCTTCCAATTTTAAGGCTTCAAGGTCCATAATAGGCCACCGCAAAACAGATTCAACCTCCTATAACCAGTGAGCTATTAACAGGAGCTCACAAATCCTTCCTACCAAAGTATGTGGGTAGGTTTGTTCCTCTTCAGAAATCCTCTTCTTTGGTTAAATACTCAATCCTACTTAAAATTGATCGGTTTTAGAAAACAGCTTTCATTCATCCACTATGTGTCTCAAATACTTAGAAACCTCTGTCATTCTACTAACTTACTAACTTCATTTAATGCCAACAGTCTTCATCCAGAGGAGAGAGAGCTTGCAGAAGAAATCAATAATCACAGCTTGCTTTCTTTCCTGTCCTGAAGGGACTGAACAATTAGAAATAATTCCAGGAAAAAGTGTCTATATTTGTGGGATCCAGGAGTTCATAAACCTCACCAGCAGTTTCACAGACTGTGGAAGTGTTATGGGTGTCAGCAAGAAACAATGCAGTAGCTCATATTCAGGATGGGAATGATTGGCTTTTTTCTGTATCCTCCCATGAATCTTCTCTATTTCAGAGAGAATAGCATTTTATTGAGTCATAAAAGGAATGAATATAAGAACCTCCTTCTTAAAATTGAAGGCAAACATCTCAGAGAAACCAGATTGTCTGCCAGGAACTGCAAACAGAGATCTCACCCCTTCTAAGAGGAAGATCTACTTTGCAGGCTCCAGCCATACACTCTTTTCACTCTCTCTATCAGTATTTGTTAAAAAAATCCAACACAACAATATCTTATAGCTGTCAATATCATACATACCTTGTAAGGATTTCAATTGCTGAAGTTTTTTCCCTTCATAATCTTCTGTGATTTTTCCAACTTGCTGATAGTAGTTTTCTACCAGTCTATTGATGTTATTGCTGGTCCCATATACACTTTCTACAGCAGCTTCTACCAGTTTCTCCTGTATTACATATTAGAAATAACAATTCATTTTCTAAGTAAAAAACTAGGTGTTTTGTTCTGTCTAAAACTGAAGACCAAAATTAATATTGTATGCACATACAAGATTGTACATCTTGTGCTTTAAAAATGTGACCAACTGATATACTGGAACATGAAAAATTACAGTACAATCTTTCTAATCACAGAACTTCAGCGGTTTGAAGGAACCTCAAGAGACATTAAGTCCAATCCCCTTTCTAAAGCAGGTTCCCTACAATAGATTGCACAGGCAGGTCCAGAATAGGTCATCCAGACAGGTCTTGAGTTTCTCCATAGAAGACTCCACAACCTCTTTGGGCAAATTGTTCCAGAGCTCCATCACCCTTACCATATTGAAGTTCTTCTGCATGTTTGTATGGAACTTCCTTTGTTCAAATTTTAGGCTATTGCTCCTTGTCCTATAACTGGACACCACTGAGAAGAGCCTGGCCTCATCCTTATGTGCCTCACCTACATGTGAGAAGTTACCTTTCTAACTGTTCAATCTTCATAGCCCTCTTTGCCTGTAAACCCAACTACCAGCAAAGTAAATCATTTTTTTTGTGTAAATTTAATACAATTTTTCTTTATGCGGAAAATTCAAATATTTGCAATGTTTTTATTGATATATGAATTAAGTTTCATTTTATTAATCTATGAATCAAGCTGTTAAGCTGCATGCTATTAATTAACTCTAAAATCTTTGTCAATAGATTGCCACCTCCATTTCTTTCTCATTTTTGTGATTTTCTGTCAACAAAAACTTTCTCAGTGTTTTAATGTTCTGGGATTTGGTTTAGTAAAAACTCTTTTGACAGCTATAATGAGTCACTAAAAAATACTGTACTTTGACATAGGTGTTAAGTCTTTAAATAGTTTGCAAGTTATCTTCAGTTTTAAAACAGATTGTAATGCTGTCCTGCTGATACTTTTAGACATAGGATAATGCTTATTTGGAGTTGCCCTCTGATTTATCCAAGCAGAACTCAATTTTTTAAGAAAGCTACTACTGAACACTTCCATACCTTGAACTCCTGTTCATCATCTGAATTCTCTTTTGAAGCTTTCTGTCTGACATGCTGCAGCAATGTCTGCCCAATCACTTTCTCCATGTGTTGCTGAAGAAACTGAAGAGCTTCTTGGATTTCTGTTACTAACTGCTGGTGAAATTCTAAATGGTTTTGCTGTGTTTCTTCCTCAAGTTTCTCTTCCTCTTCCAGAATGTGAGACTCCTGGTAATTAGACAAGATGTTAGCAAACACTGCCATTCAAGTGTACTCACAACTTTAGCCAGCATCACTGTAAAAGAAAGTCCTACAGCCACTCAGAATATCACTGTTTTAATCCTTAATCTAATTTCCAGCATAATTTTATATTCAGTTACTTAATATCCTTTTTTGGCACCAAGGTTATTGCCTCTGTCATCATAAGTACAATAACAGCAGTAACCTGTCCCAGCAGTCATATCCAAGTGATGTATTCCAGTTTTCATATTCATACTTTTGCATTTGGTCTTACTTCTACGCAAAAACAGTCAAGCTCAACTACCTTGACTGCAGGAAGGGACATCTGTGGATACCTTGATAAATAGCACAGGAACAAGGCAAGCACACAGTTATGCTTCTCGTACAATTTTGAGAAAAAGTAGGTATAGTCGTGCTAAGTACTTAATAGCAAGAAGAGACCACTGGCACTCTTGGCACCTGTAGTATCCTCATGATGAATTCTGCAGCTTAGCAACATATTCTTTCATTTTGAAAAAATCAAGTGGCTTTTAAGTAGGAATCTAGTAGCTTTGCTTGGTGTTCTCTTGTTCTTTCATCAGAAAAAAAGACATCAGAAACAACTGTATGCCACTTTTAAAACCAATTACACTCACATTTCTTTTAGGCTGAAGAGTTCCAGTCTCTTAAGTGCTTTCAATCATCCTTACCACTATTTTCTATGCTACTTTTCAAATCCACTTTCACTCTAGGCTCTCTTCAGCACCCAAGAGGACACGCTCACCAGCACAACCTATTCTTTGTTTCCCATGCGTATTACAGTCTTCCACAGACTGCCTTCTATTGAGTTGCAGATTTCCCTCTTACACTAATATTCTCATTTAAGACTAAATAAAATTAAATTATTCTGAGGAATTTAAAAGTTCCTATTTGATTCCCTCCTGTAAATAAAAATTGCAAGCAGGAAAAGAACCTGCTCTGCCCACATTCATCTGTGGAAAGAAATGATGTCCCTATTAATGCTGGTTATTTTAACGTCTTTATTTAGAGCTCAGGCACGTTTTTGACATTTCTAAGTCAGTCATAAAGTCTTTAAACAGTTTTTCTTTTTTAAAAAAGACCAAAATGTCATGTTATGAAACAAATAGACTAACATAACACTCTCACATTAATTTAAGCATAAGATTAAATTAAATTTAGTTAAAATAACACAGTATGTCTAAAACTCTGATTGAGTGTCTGTAAACTAACCTCTTCCTTAACCCACTACATATCAGTTTTAGTTTTGGAGGCTATTCCTAACATTTGTTTTCTCTCTGACAGTTCCATACATAGACTTTACTCTTTGGCAGCAAGGATATAATATGCATATATTTAAGCATTTCCTTGTGAGACTGGTCTTAGCTGGCCTTGGAAAGAGGCTGTAATGAATACAGTCCAAAAGAGCAGTAGTATCTGGGGGCATTTCATTTTTGCTAGGGAACACAGAAATTGCATCAATTCTTGTCCCTGTGGGATCTAAGTGAGTTGGAACAATGGAAAGAACAAAAATACAGAAACAAGAGGAATGATGTCATATGCATTTGTATTTCACTGCATTTTACTTCTTCTAAAGGTTAATAATATTTTGAGATTTTCACACTTAACAGGGACAGAATTTCCTTAATCCTCTCAAAAGTGGAGAATTAGGATTCATGTCAAGACAATTAGAATTAGAGGCATGCAGAATATTCTCTCTGCACTGACTGCACAGTGATGACATGGAGCACAGAGATACAAAGTATTGGATGGGTTCAATCCAGACTGGCAGCAATGATGAACTGAGCAGGGGTTAATACTGATGCCTGCTGGGAAGGGTCTTCTGATGACTTCAGCAACGCAGTGTTGTTCTAGTTAAGTACCCACTGTAGGTAAGTGAATAACCAACAAGATCTAGTATTAACCAGAAAGATTTACCCCCAAAACACAGTGACAAACATACATGAAAGTCACCTATGGGAATATAAAGTATAATAATCCTTAAACTTTCTCCTGCTACCTTGACCTACAGGAATCTGGAAGGATGTCAGGGGAACAGATATTAAGTGTCTCGTGGACAGAGGATAAAGAAAACAGAATGAAAAATGACAACAGTACATAAAAACTTGCTAGGTCTGTTGAAGGAAATTGATAATTTCTTCTGACATTCAAAAAAAGAATTTTGAAGCACATATTATGACCTCCAGAAGAGTTAGTAGGACTTTCTCTTACCATAAAGCAGTAACTTGTGTAGAGTCAATTATACACTGTGCATGAAGTATTAGAGAATTTTAACTAATTTAAACTAGAAAGGAATACTTAAGAACCTACTATGTCAAGAGGGGTGCATTTTTGACAGGATTTTTTCTCTCTATTTGAAACATGAATGTTTTCATATTTGAGATCTGTGGCTACTTCTAATGCCAGACAATGGCATTTAAGAACTCTGGACAAAACCCTCCAGGATACTGTACCTACCACTGCCTTCTGTAGCTGCCACTGATCTTCATCTTGACAGGCTGAAGAGCCCTTCTGCAGCATATGTTGCTCTCTCAGCTCCTGAAGCAAGCTCTTTTTTCTGGACATCCTCATGCGGGTCAAAGCTGCCATTCCAATGCTTCGAAGAGTTAATCTTCTCCATACTGAACACAGCAAGAGCCGCTGTTTTTGCAATATGTAGTTAACAGACCTGCAAAAAAGACCATTAAAAATCACTAGGCTAGGCTGCTTGCTATGTAGGCTTTTGCACATCTGTGGTCAGGAAAGTCATTGCTCAAAGATGACAGCTACTGTTCACTCCAAACAAAGAATGTTTCTCAGATATAGAGAATGGATATTGCTATGATAAACCTCTAATTCTATTATGCTGAAATTAAATTACAATAAAAATAGGAAGAAAAAAGATAAATAATCAATTATAATTACTCTTTTTTTCATGGGAGACTTGAAATAAGATGAAAAGAGAATGTAATCAGAACTGCAGGGAAGTTCAAGCTGAAGAAAATGCGAGAGAGCATGCCTTGGATTAGCAAGGAAGCACTCTCTGAAGAGATGTGGAAGAAGCTAGTGTTAGCTGGCAGCACATGCAGGGCTAGAAGAAGTGAACACACTTTCAAGAAGATTCTGAACAAAGTGAGTGAAATCTGCTCTGTGTGCATTTGGGATGATACTCTTCAGAGTGGGTTTGTGTCTGTATCTAACTTGTGTAACTGTAAGGCACTGTGAGATGTCCAGATATTGAACTGTGGGAAATGTCAAAGAGAATATGAAAACAGAAGGTTGAATTGAAAAGTACAGACAAAATAAAGGAGCACGGTGGGAGTAATACTAATATTCCAGATAGCCAAGTGTTTAATGCATTGATCTATGGTAATGTGGATACATACCATGGTGAATGAAGTCATTTGGCATTTTAATCAAAACAAGGCAGATAACAGAATTTTTTTGAGAAGGTGTCTCTTAAGGAGACTTTTAGCTGAACAAAGATAAGATAAAACTGAAAGTTTCATTAGTGAGTACAGATAGAGAATGCAAGAGAGGAGTCACTTCCATGGTATCCTAATAGCAGAAAGCAAAAACAGAGCTGATTGGTGCCAGACTGAACATTTTATGCTGAAGGATATTACTCCAATGAGTACAGAGAGCAAAGTGAAGCTAGTTCAAGATTAGGAATTACTCACAAACATAGCAATAAATACTCAGAATGCATATCAATTGACTAATCAGAGAAGACATTAGACTTATAAAGAGTCTGGTCTTCATTCTTTTTAATAGTTTTTTTACTCATCAAGATTAAACATACATTAACTGTCTCTCCGTTTGAGGATGCTCAGAATCCCTCAGCACTGCTTTCTGCAACATAACGTACACAGGTATTTATCTGTATTTGCAGCACTGCAGATTTACCACACTGCTTACTGATAAAATCTTACTTACTCATCACTGAGGCAGCCCAGTCTGCTCATGACGCCTTGCATTATCTTTTCTTGTTTCTCAGACAGGTGCTTTTGTATCACAGAAGCGAGAGCGTATTCATTTATCCATAGCTAAAAGCAGAGAAAAAATCACAGTCTCGATACTATCATTTTCATCTCTTTGATCCCCATATGATGAATCACGAGTTTATTTTTATTTTTGTTAAAAATAGTAATTCCCTCTTTTCCTTTGTCCTACAGATTTTCCCATTTCAGCAATAGAGGAACAATGAAAAAAGGACAATGTGGCACAACATTTTGCATCAGCTCTTATCAGCAAGTTGCAGTGGGCTTTCTGTTTGACTTTTTTTGCTAGTAAAGACGTAGTTTTTACTTTAACCTAACAAAACAAAGATAATCATCCTCCACCACACTTTCTTGTATATTACACAGTGAAAAAAAATAGAGATTTTGTGATTAGGTTTTTTGACTGTACGTTTACAGCTCCTTCAAGGCGATACTTAATCAAAGAATCTTTAAATGTTTTGATGGACTTTTCATTGTACTAAACTTTTGGAGATATAGATTTTGTTTATTGTATTGCCAGAATTTAATGAATAGTAGGCCATAAGATGAAATGACTGTAAGGTCCAAACTCCATTACTGTGAGATGAAAAGTACATTTCAGGCTAAGCCGGCAGCTGAGTGTAAGCAGGTAACTTGCAGGCATACACAGAGCCCTAAATTAAATATAATACTCAAGCTCTCTGACAGCTTCACTTCATGTCCCAGCCTCATGCACAACATGAGGAAGTAAATTTTATGTTATTGTAGACAGCAAGATTTCACCAGATCAATATGTGCAGCAAAAAAGTAGGTGTGCATTGCAGCCCCTCTTAGTGCAAGGAATTAGGAATGATCCTGGGCCTTCACATTGGATTAGATAGTCTTTTCCTTGGGAAGCACCAATCTGTGCAGGAGAGGCTTTATGTGTGAACACAGAATTAACGCCCCAGGGAAGTGCAGAACATCAGAAACCAGATATTCTCTGGCTGTAAAAGAAAAATGTATTTCTTTCCTGGATAGTGCATTTTCTGCACCATACTCAGCAGTACATACAACTGAACCCTCTCCATGGAGAAAACCTTACCAGAGCATGTTCTCCTGTGCAAGACGCCTGAGAAGGATGGACTGCCAGTCTGTGTTACAGATGGAAAGACCATGAGAGACACAGCACAGAAGCCTGCACAGAAGTGAAGAGTACTCTTGGTTGCTCTCACACAGAGCTGCAAGATGTGCACGGGAAGTGAGACCTCAGCTAATCTGAGCCAGGGTCATTCTTAAAATCAAAGAGCCCACTCAAGCACAATGTTATCTCTAACTGCATATTGCAAATGATACATTGAGGTCTACCATGTCTCCAGGTATCATAATGACAGATATAAAATATTTCCTCAAAATAATAGCTGTATTAGTATTTCCCTTTAGCAGCTCTGTGGATATAGTTTCCTAGTGCTTCACACCTCTCTGCAGATGTCCATTAAGGTTTTGGTTAACCAACCTGAGTCAGCACACTATGTGTTTTATTGTCTCTTTTAACAGTTAAAAGAGGGCTGAAAAAGACTTCTTAATTTTCTACAGGAGACTATTCAATAAGAGACTGCCTATGGCTCAGATGTAGCTTCCCATTGTTTTTAGAAACTTGCTTATTCATACAACTGTTTATCTTGAGGGCCTGTCTTCCTACCTACTCTCCAGCAGTGTACAGAAGTGGGTCCCCAAATAACATAAGGCAGGAGCGGTTTTCAGGATTTGTAGATGATACAATATTACAGTCAAGGAACAAAAATGCAACACCTCTGCTGGTGGTGGTATATCCTATCCAAAAAACCCACTCAGTGTGATAGATAACAAAGACAGGGACTATAGCAGGAATTGGAAAAGGAATAGAATAGTTCTGCAATGGAGAATGTAGACTTTCTTATAAAGAGAAAGAATGAGCCACCTTCTGAGACTGCACCTAACATAGGCTGTATGCAAAAATTACCTCTTCACTCTCTCTGAGATCAGTAGAAAGCCACATACAACAAAAAGTATCCCCTATGCACTATTATTGAACTTAAAAGGAGAAGTGCATTAGCTAGTAAGTAGTCAGAGAACAGTTATTACACATTTAATTAGAGATGGTAAATAAGGAAGATTTGAGATCTGAACCAAATACTAAATCAGTGTTTGGCCTCTAAAGGTCTCTAGGAAATTGTTCACCATGAGCCAGCAGCGTGCCCTATATCTAATGGGCAAGAGCCAAGTGCTTGGGGCTGGACTCCTTTCAGTGCTGTCCAGTGACAGAACAAGGGACGAGGGGAACAAACCAGAACACAGGAAGTGCCATCTGAACATGAGAAAGAATTTCTTTACTGTGAAGGTGACAGAGCACAGGTTGCTCAGAGAGGTGGTGGAGTCTCCTTCTCTGGAGGTATTGAAAACCCACATGGACACCTACCTGTGTGAGCTACTGTAGGGAACCTGCTTTAGGGGTTTGGACTAGGTGATCTCCAGAGGTCCATTCCAACCTCTACAATTTTGTGATTCTGTGACTAATTGGGAGCAGGAAGAGAATACCATATTCTTTACTGCAAGTAACACTTCAGCTGCTCAATGGGATGGACCTAGAGGGCTAGGTATTTTCTATCCCCAAAACAGCAAAAAAAACCACACATGCGTGCACACATGCTACACTGAAGATCCCCTGGGAATCTTAATTTGAGGCTGCTGGCTTCTGACTTGTAAGTAGCAAAACAGAGGCAATTATTTCATCAAGAAAGAAGAAAAGGTGATGCCCCACCCCTAGAGGTGTTTAAGGCCAGGTTGGATGGGGCCCTGGGCAGCCTGGTCTAGTATTTAAATGGAGAGGTTGGTGGCCCTGCCTATGGCAGGGGGGTTGCAGATTCATGATCCTTGAGGTCCCTTCCAACCCTGGCCATTCTGTGATTCTGTGATTCTGTGAAAAGGTGATTCAATGCACTTCACTGCTCTTCCAACACCAGGATAAGTTGCCAGCAGCCTTTCAAAGCTTTCTTTATCCTTACATCGCTTTGAGATTCAGCACTTTTGGACAGGATTCCTGTACCTGAGCTGTGTTTTTTCCTCTACACCTCTATGTCTTGGTGTTGTCAGCACTGAGTGGGGAATCAAAATGGCCCTTAGAAAGTCAGCCTGGGCCTGAGCTGACCGTGGCACAAGGCAGCTCTCAGCTCCCCTGACCTGGCATCCTCCACCACTTTCCTTCCCATCCCAGCAATTGTCCTCTACAACGTGATTCCAAAATACTGTTAAAGAATGACAGATTAGTAAAGAATGGAGAAAATGACCATGCTGCACAGTCAGTGTCTGGAGAACAGCTGGGGTCTCTGATTCCTAAGCTGCAGTAAAACCGAGGCCAAAATCATGTTAACTGGGGAAGCAAAGCTCCACGGAATGTTTGGCTATTTGAAAAGATAAGCCATTCCTATCACTATGAAATAAATTAGTATCTGAAAAACAAAGAGAAAGCAATAAAAAGCACCCCATGTCAAAGCTAATAAGCAGCTGCTGATTGGCCTCTAGGGGTGCCAAGCAATGATGTGGGAATGGATGGAAAACTCCTCACCCCATTTTGTCTCTGTAAGTTTCTCACTGCTTTGTCTCCTGGCAACAAGTCCATTGTCAGACCTTCTGGAGCAGAGCTAACATTAAGCATTATTCTTTGGCAATAAATACATGGAATATGCCTTTGGTAGGTAATGAAACCCATAAAATACTTTGAGTTAGATCTCAGATACAACAGTAAATTAGATCCAAGTAAGCTCACTTTCTTGCGAAGCTCTATGACATTTTTAGCATAGATTCTTCAGGAAATTGAAGGAAAGCAATTTCTTTCTAACAGCCTGTAGATGGTGTGTGATGCATACTGAATGCCAAGCAAGTACCTACTCTACTGCAGCAGCCTGCTCTGAGTAACAGATGGCAGTGCTCTTCCAGGGAAATCATGAGGCAGGAGATACATGGGAAAATGTTCACGATTTATTTTCATTAGTCAATTATTTCTGTTTGCCTCGCTCATATTCTGAAGCTTATAAGGTAAAAGTTAAATATGAAACTGAATTTTAATTTTCATGCATAAAAGAGATTCTGTTTCCCCAAAGGTCATCATATTCCAGATATGTATAAATGCATAAAGATAATCTCAAACAAACATAGTTCAGGTAAATGGGAAAAATCTCTTTTTGAGCCACCTTGGAAAGCTTAAATAATCTGGTGAAAACCCTTCTTTGCTAGGCTTCCTAAGGCTATAAAGACTGTGCAATTCTTTACTGTATATTTGTCAAAAGGCAAATGAGAGACATATTTATTGCTGGAAAATGCCTGATAAATTAAAAGGCCTGTCAATATAAATATTGATTTATGGACCTTTAGTCATCAGCACCGCAACATCTGTGGAATCTCCCAAATATCCTAGTCACCTGTCACAAGTGTTTGATCCCTCCTTTTATAAAGGTGGAAACCAAGTGCTTTTTTCAGTAGGATATGGGTGTCAGCTCACTATTTAAATACATGTCACTGTGTTAATACTGGGAAAGAGTCAAAAAATGCATTTTGCATTTAAATGAAATATAGTTAATTGTGTGATACACTAGCTTATACAGGAAAATATACCAGCCTAGCCTTGATGGAGTATCTGTTTCCCTACAAACTCTCTTTAGAGATAGAGCAGTCTTTCTTCCAGTTTAGTTCAAACTTCTTCAAAAACCACATATGTAAGTGAAAAAAAACTACCTATTTAAACGTTTAAACTCCTCTTGAAGAGTCATCCATTTTCCCAGTAGGAGAAACTCTCTCCTAGAAATTTATTGCACAGAATCACTTCTTAGGAAAGCCCTACCTGTTGATCATGCAATTTTTATGTTGAAGAATGCCCAGCTATACTGCTGGTGACCCAGAGACCAATGTGAAGGCTATGTACTTATTGAGATGAATTCCTTTATAGCTCAGTAATTACTGTTAATGATGTCAGTAAACTCTTTTTTTTTTTCTTTTTTTTTTTTTTTGCCCAACTAGAAAGCCATCTGCTTTATATTATGAATGCTACAGTACACTGAAAATATAGAAAATCAGCTTTTAAATCTAACTATCCTATGCTTGGCCATTACTGGAACATCTGAATTCAAATGTAATGCATTAATCATACAGTTCTGTCCAAGGAACTATTCTCCATCAACCGGCTGCTGGAGCTGAACTAATCCTTTTAATCCCTTGAGAAACCATGCTAGGGTCTTAGTTCCTCCACTCAATCTTCGTACATACTGTGTCCAATGATAGTACTGGAGGAATGCGTACAGAGTCTTTGGAATAAGCTCTAAACTTGAGATCTACATTCTCTACAGTTAAACTACATCCATCTACTAGTAAAACTATGTCCTCTCTCACCCTGTGCAATGTCTGACATTCAATGGGTTTGTGGAAGGATCAGAGCAGAGGAGCCCTAACACTGATTTATTTCTGTTGCTTTTCTCTTGTATCACTCTGTTGCTTTTCTCTTGTCTCACTGCCCTCTATGTGCAGGGCACAAACAGAATAAGAAATATGGACATGTGTTCCTTCACCTCATCAGAGTTAAAGAGCGTTTTATGTAGAATGTTTCTAGTAATTATAGTATTAATACATAGAAATGATTAAGAAGTATGTACATAAGAATCATGTAATGCCTCCTTTCCTGTAAACTGATGAAGGTTTTTTTTTTTTTGAACTGTTTCTGTAGATGTTCAAGAGTTGAGGACGCTGTGGAATTAAGACAGAACACTTGCCAAAAAATGTTTATGTGCTGACAAAGCTGTCAAACACTGTGGACAGATGTTCAGTAATTACTCTCTGACTCTCTGTGAGAGTCTACACGCACAGCATATATATTCACTCCTTACAGCAGCTCAAACTGCCCATCCTGAGTCTGGTTCTGGTCTGTGTATTTATATACAGGTTTATATACAGATTATTTCTTTCCATATTCCATTTTTAGACCCTAACGTCCCAGTTTCCTACCTTTTTTTCTTGCAGTATCTGTTCCTGGAAAAGCTTCCAGCGTTTCTGGCGGTGGCTGTCCCACTTCTCCAGCTGAGGGACCACATTCTCCTGCCAGTCCTCTTTCAGAAGTTCACATTCTCTTACAGAGAGGCCGGTCACAACAGGCAGTGTTTGAAGAAACAGCTCATTCACCAACTCTGCTAAAGCATGGGAAGCTTTAGAATACAGCTCCTACGAGGGGGACAAAGTGAGACAGGTGAGAAATCAAACCTCATGGCCCTTTGCAGCTACTTCACTGCATGCTGTGTGATACCAGTGAGGGAATCATGCTTCAGTTAATGTATAATGTGTAGTGACACCTAGAGATAAAATCCAATGCCAGTAATGCTTGAGTTATAGCAGACTCTGTAAATGGAGCTTGTAACAACATAGGTGTTTTGGTTTAAAGTGCACAAGAGTATTTAAAATGCCATAGTGGCATTAGCATGAGATTCTGAACCCTAACTGTTGTCCACCTGCAACTGCAAAGTAAGGACAAGTTAAAAGGAGCAGTACAGCATATAGACAGACAAAGCTGACACTGATCATGTTAGTAGTTATTGCTCTAAAATACGACTCTCCTTAATGACTTCTGGAAGGACAGAATTATTCAAATCCATCCTGATGCAGAACAGCTTCAAGCCTAGGAAAACAAACATCTGTTGGTGGTTCTATTAAAACTGGTCTCATGTGAGTGGTTTTCAATTGCTGAGGCTGCGTCATTCGCAAGAAGAGTTTGGGCAATTTAGTCAGATGGTATCCAAGCTACTAAACCTTTACAAAACCTGCAATTTCAATGTCAAATACACAGTGACATGACACAAGCTGTGTTTGGAAACTTGCTAGAAATTTGAGGTAATCCCTGAGGAGAATAACTGAGTGCAGGTAGCTCTCCTTAGAGGAAGAGACAAAACAAAGGCATGGAAAGGTCACATAGACACTGCAGCACACCATCAGGATGAAGAGCTGGTTTTGTGTGACTTCAACATTGTCACAGCAATCAAAAAAGCTTTATTGTCTGTGTGGTTTTGCTTTCATTGTAAATCACTCAGCCCTGTTGAAAATACTAAGATCTATTTATTTTCTTTTAAAATACAGCTAATATTTTTAAAACTCTTTGCAGCATTTCTGTAGCAAAAACAAGTACTTCAAGTCTTCTGGCGGTTGTCTTTCTTTAAATATGGTTTTAATCACAATCTCTTAAGTGATCAAAATCCAGAATCTCTCAATAGAAGTACAGATGTTTTTATCTAAATGTCGAAAACATTTGTTTGCAGCTCATATACATAAAAATGTCAAGTGAACTTATCTGGTTTTGGGTGGCACGCTGATGTAACACGCTATTCTGTAAGAATGCACTCTTAGATGTGGTATCATAAAAACAAAATTAGGAAAAAAAAAAGAAGGAAATAAAAAAAAGGATGATAAATTTACAAAGTTGAGCACTCAGAAACAAAAAATGAACACAATTTGGTTGCATGTAAAATCTGGCTCTGTGCATATACCCCCATACTGATAAATTTTGGGTTCACATACCGTTTTCACAAGATCTTTATCTGTTCAGTGTTTAGGCTTATCAATACTCATCAAGTGGGCACATTTTAAGAAGAAAATATTTTGTATTTCTCATTTAACGTAAAGTTTGCAAGATGTGCACTGAATACAAAATTATTATTTTCCTGCTGTGATGTAGAATGCTAATCACCATATTAATGAGCTGTTTCACAAACAATAAATAGCTTAGCTCTACAGCTTCCTGCAGCAAACTCCTCTTATGGATAAAATCAAGGCACAACATTATCAAAAGTGCTCACTACACCTTCAAGATCTGCTGTCTTGATTTCTTCCATTCTCTTACCTATTAAAAGCAAAAACATGCAGTGTTTTCAGAATCCAGATCCCATGAACTTTGTTTAATCACAAAGTGTTCAGAATCCTTTCATATTGGGCTACTTGCTCCAGAAACTGGGTCCTGGACAGAACCAAGAGTCAAAGACACACCAGCTGGATATCTCATTTCTGGTAACACTTGTCTCATTTCTGGCTACTGCTCACAATGTGGACATGACAGTATCATTAGGGCAACATCTGAACAGTGATTTATTTCTTCATACAGAGCCTTTTCTTACTAGGAAACGGTCTGGTTGGCAGGGCTATATTTTGTGGCCAAGGCTGTGTAGATGCATTGGAAACTTGATCTCAAAGTGTTTCTGGCAGCACAGGAATAGGGCAGTGGAGAGTCAATGTTAAGTGACCATTCCTCAATAAACTAAAAGTGGTTTTACAAGAAATTGCATTCCAAAGAATTCTGGATAGCTGCCAGCAAATGCTTACTGTGTAGGTACTGACTATAGCTATGTCTGCTCTGCTAAAACCTCCCAGATTAAATAACTAAACTAGGCATTGGGAAACACTGAAAAGTGCATTCTAAATTACTGGTTGAAATGTGCTCCGTTAGAAGGGAAGAGCCATGGGCTGTACGCATCACTGCAGAGACAATCTGCTGCACAGGTATATCCTGTCTCAAAGGAAGGATCTCACTTTCTTAATTATTATAGTTACCAGTTCCTGTTATAATAAAAAGTAGGATTTATGCTGTCTTAATGAACTGTTTTGTTGTGGATGTGGCTTATCTTGTCAACACTAATGCTAAATGGTTTGAGTTCTCACTGCTGCTGTTTCTTTATTTTAGAATTCAAGCCTCTAAATCCTGGGATTTAATGTAAACTCAGATTCCATGTTTCTAATCTCTGTATCCTACGCCACATTTTAAAAATTCTGTCACTGTAAACTGTCTTTTCTCTGAGCTTTTCTAGCCTTTCCAAACAAGCTAATTCTTCTGCCTTTACTGCATGCTCCTGAATACAATAAATTCTTATATCTTCTTGGGTCTTAAACAGTTAGGAGTCTAGAGGATTCTGTGGCATTTCTATTACAATCTCAAAAGATCTGAGGCAAGGTGTTAAGGAACTTCATTCTTAAGCAAACAGAGTTCCACCTATGGCAACTAATCACTTTACAACATACTTTGCTTCAGAACTGGTAGCATTTGCATGGCATGCTGACAACCCTGTATTACTATTTACTAGGAAATCTTTTGCACAGAACCTAAAGAAGGTATTTTGTTACTTGCTGTTATGCTATTTTGTTTAACAATAAATTGAACAGCATTCTGCTTGCACTCCCCACAGATTCAAGTTATTTTGCATACTTACCATTGGTGCTACTGAAGTGGGTACATACTTACCCAGAAAAAATACGATTATGTATCAATCACAGGTACTTAATCATTTGCAAAATACTTTACAGCCCTCTGTTGAAATTGATGTGAAAGGACAAGAAAGTAGGACTAAAAATCCAGGAATCAACAGTGCCTTTAGAAATGACAGTGCTGGGCGAAAATATGGAAGATGAGCAGGACTGAGTGTATTACTTTTCATCTCCTAGATGCTGCAAACAAGCAAAGCAATAGGAGCCCTGTTCAAGTGCTGCTAGGCCCCTAAAAGAGTGATTTTCAACTGTAGAGAACACTTTAACTACTATTATAAATTCTGCTCTGTGCAAGCCACAAATCCTGCACTTACTGGTCTCAGCTGCAGCCCCAAATCACAACATAAACCACCATCAGTGCTGACTATCATAATACTAACTTCTTCTCATCTGGTCACTGGGTTCTTTAACCCAAACACATAATACTAAGAATATTACAATCCATGAAGTCAGTGCAACACCAACAGTACAGTGTGCTCACACATACGATGTGATGGCTATGCTGTTTAACATTGCACTTGCAGTAACATAGTGGAATAACTTTGTAAGGTTTGTTAGAAAAAATGCTAAGTCTACATTTAAGAAAAAAATGCAAGTGAAACTAAATTCTACTGTGTGACTCAAGAATCATAGAATCACAGAATGGCTTGGGTTGGAAGGGACTTAAAAACCCATCCACCAGTTCCAATCCGTTGCTGTGGACAGGGTTGGCACCCACTAGGTCAAGCTGCTCAGGAAAAGAAAATAGTTCAAGCTAAGAAAATTGTACAAAATTATTTGTACTCTAAGGAAAGTACTCAATATGAAACAGCAGTAAGTCTGTCCATAATCAAGGACAGCACGATACATATTATTAAGTCTATCTTCTACAGGAAAATAATGAAACCGTTAAGAAATCCTATTGCTACCAACATCTTATTTTTGGACACATACAGAATAGTTTCTGTGAACTCACTGATATGTCATCTCTTGCTTGTAGAACTTTTACTTAATGAAATTTATTCAAATTGATTCCATTAATAGAATAGCTGATTGCAACAGTGAATGAACCTGTTTGTAGTACCTGGCAGTCAATCTGAAAGCTTTTCAAAAAATCTCCAGAGAAATTCATCAAGCATAAAGAAATACCACAGGGTATATGCAGAAATAAAATGGTCTCAGATTAAAATGCTGAATGCATCTGAATTTCAAACAAGGCAGTAAATATAGAATTTTGTAAAAAACCAAGGGAAATACAGAGTTTATCAGATTTCACTGTAGATCCAAAGAGCAATATTAATGCTTTCGCTCAAACTCAAATGATTAAATGGTTCTTACATGCAGATCAGAATAAAGTGAATAATGACATTGTGAAGCAGGAAAATATATCTAGAAAGGCTGGTTGCACTGTATTTTAAATGCCAGCCACTCTATTACATATTATCTCCAGGAGGCAATGGCACAGTTAGTTGTTAACTTGTAATAGTTACTTGTTAACTTTGGATACAATAGCATTTCATTAAAGAATTAAAACTTCTGGTCAAGCTGTAGAGCACTTCAGCTTCACCAGAAGTCCAAAGGCTTGCTAAGGGGTCATATTAAGGAAAGAATTTCAGAAGATCATGCATTCTTCAATAATTTCAATGTTCTTAAGACACTACTGGTCACTAGAAGATACTTCAGGTCATAAACTCAGGACAGATAGGGAAAAGTTGATTGTATGCATTTCCTCGTCTATTTCATAAGAATTCCAGAATGATAATTGCAAACTGAATCCAGTAACCTGCTTTTAAGCACTTAAGTGATAATGGTATTTAAGTAATCTTCAGTACTAGCTAATAAAACAAAGGGAAAAAAAAATATGTACTAAAAATGAGGGTTCATTGAAATTAGTTTTTCCTCCTCATTGGTTCTTGTTTCAACCTTCAACTTCTGTACTGCCTTCTCTTTTTAGAAATGTGCTTCTCAGACAAGGGGATATCCTTTAGAAGATATAGGTATTAGAAAACAGTGAATCCACACAGAGATAAAAGGCATTTTGTTATGCATTAAGGCAAGAAGTAACTTCATAATGAAGCTTATTCACATCATGCATCTTGTATTTCACAACAGTACATACATTCACAGTGAATGCATGTGAATACCTACAAACAGGCTGAATTTCTTCAGCTTACTGTTGACATCTGATTGAGGCCAGTCAATCACTTTGGGCACACAGAATGACTCAGGTCACCTGGTGATGAGATAGGAAGAGCCAAGAAGAATATCTGGACTTATGTCAAGGTTACAAATAGTACACAACTGCAAAACCACAGACTTCATATAACCTTTAGTAGTGGCTTATCTGTGAAACATTTGGATGTGATTCTACAAATACAACAAATGTTTCCCAGAATTGTAACTGAATGTGCAAATGTAGTAGTAGAGTTAAGGGCTTCAAAGCTGTCCTTGAAATGACTAAATTTAATGAGACCCCAAATGCAGAATTAAATTGAGCTCATGTGGCAGGAGTTTCATGTTTAATCTCCTAAATCACACTGCCTTTCAAACTTTCTGGGTTAAATCATAGACAAAATTTTCAAAAGTAAGTGTTCGATTTGGAGGGCTCTTGATCAGGATTTCCATCTGAGATAAGACGTGGATGGCTCATATAGAAAAGCAGCTAGCTCTGGATAGAAAGACATGCCATCCACTCTGCAAAAAGCATCCCTAACTATATCTCATGCTAATGAAATTATATAAGGAAAGAAATGAAAGAGTTAAGTTTCTAGGAACCTGAACTTACAATTTTGACAAAGATAATTTTCTCCCTTTTACTAACTGAGGAAAAAATATATTTTGCTTCACCTCACATTCATGTTTACTCATTTATAAAATGTTTATTGCTTTGCCTGTTGATAATTCTCAATACTTAATGGCTTTTAATCTAAATTCTTATGCTTTTCTGTTCTGCCAAGTCAAATGAGATAACATTTTAGTGAACTGCTATCTCCAAAAAGAAATTATAAATGACAGTAAATTGTGTTTTTTTATGCTTTTGATGTTAAAGCTGAGGAAAAATAATTATATTATCAGGGACTATGTAATTCTTGGCTGTTAACTGATTTCATTTTGTGTAATCTGCATGTCTGTTTTCTTAATAATGAGCTGTTAACCATTAATCTCTTTTCACTTCTCCTTTCCCTGCTGAAATAAGCAGGTAGCTCACACACACACACAACAACAACAAAACAAAATAAACAAAAAACCTAAACAATAACCCAAAGAAAGGACTAAAGGTTGGTTAGCATCTGATAGGCTAAATTTGAGACAGACTTGCAAGGAGCTAGCCATTTATCTTACCAAGAGATCAGAAGAAACAGAATAACACATACATGGGGTTGGGGGATGTGGAGGCTTTCACTGCCACATGAAAGAAAATTTCAGTTTAAATCTTGCAATTCAATAGCTATACAGACTAGTACAAAACTGTTACTGCAACAGTGTATCCCCTCTGTATGGGATAACTCCAAACCCTATCTTTACCTTTTAAATATTAGGCTGAGCCTTTCAGTTAGCTTTGACACAATTCCTTCTTCAATTACAACACTGTGTGAATTAAAATCACTCACCAACAGTGCTCAGCTTGGACTGTACAAATTGTTGCTGCCTACTCACTACAAGACTACTCACCCACAGTGTACTATTTTAATTCACTATTTCAATTGCTGAAAAGTCCTATGTAATCTTTTGAATACAACACCTTCATTCACTTCAGGCATCAACGGATTCCACTGAACTTGGTTAAATCATTTTAATTGATTTATTCATGTGTTGACAAAACAAACCTACTCAATTATTCTCTGCAAACAGAGTCAGCTTCCAGATCACTGCTTTTTTTATGTATTTATTCACCAATTTGAACAATTCCTTGATGTTCTGTAGCACTACAGGCTACATTAGTGCTAGAAGGCTATACAAATCTTGGTGAACTCACGTTTAAAAGGCAAAAAAAGCTAAAAGAAATGGCGGAGAGTTTTGAGCAGGGCTTAGAAGAACATTGTGAGAACAAAGTAAGGATATTCTCCCACAAAGGAATGGCAAATACAGTGAAGTGACATATTTTCTTCTATCCCTAGGATATTCAATGGTTCCCTACTTTGTTATGTGCTGACCTTTTCCCTACATTCTAATATCACCTCTTGCATGGAGGTTATTTTTCTACTTATTCAAGTAACTAAATCTGTCACATTTGCTTCCCTGCTCGTTTAACTTAGGACAAATCAAGGTGACTGCTGAAATAAATCAAGTTGTACTAGTACACAAGTGAAGAAAAAAAAAGCCTAAGCTAAGAGCTATTTAACTTGGAGAGATGGGAAGCACAGCAACTTTGTGCAGCTTTGCAAGGCTAATTTTTATGTGCAACAAAATAAAAATTAGGAATAACTAAATATTTAACTACTTCTAGTTCTATGTATAAATGAATCTTTCTGAAATTGTCTTGCAGTCTTTGGATGCCTTGTGGACCATGGGCTGAGGAATATTTATATATGTAAGTGAGGAGCATGATGAGTGTGTCTCGTTGGTCTAGCTACAGATATACCATTCAGTTTTTCAGCAATATTACTAGGCTTCAGTTTCTACTGAAGTGATAAAAAGCAACTAAAAAGAACTCTTTGCTAAGCAAATGACTACCTGTTAAACTACAAGTCTTTTGGAACTACAACAATAAGCTCTGCAGTGTTAGTAGGTGTGCCCAAATCAGCTCGAGCTACAAACAAGCTGGTTCAATCCCAACTGGGATACAGGGCTTGCAGCATAGGGCTGAATATCACCTTGGGAGAGAAGTTGGTAGCCAGCTGGTTAGTCTAATGATTGTTTGCTCAGGTTTACTTGACCTGCGGTCACACCTCTGCACTGTGGAAATTTGAGTACTTCAAATTTCTCTTGCCTTCACCACTGGAAGCAGTAACTTCTCCCTCCAGAAAGCTGGAGAAACTATGGAAAGATGTGAAGCTCTGCTGTCCAGGGAATGGCTAGTCCAAGGAATAGTTCTGCTTTGAAAGTGTGCTGAAACAGATGAAGACTGAAAAGCACTGTGGTTGTGAGATGCAATTCCTTCCCTCAAAATCAAATCTATGTTTGCTTTTTTGTTCTGACAAAATGTTTAACTACTGTAGTTCCCTCAGCTGTAGAAGTCAGAACAATTCAATTTATGTACAGTAGGGATATGCTAATTTATACTTCCTCTTCTTTCCAGTTTATGCTGTTTATAAGGTGTATTGAGAAGTCTGCAGTATCTCCATTTAGGGCTAAGGGGATGCAGTTGTTCATTATGTAAAACATGACAATAAAGAAGTTTTATTGGAAATGTTTTATTGGAAATTAAGATTTATGGATTCTCATCCAATGGATGCCACTGGATTACTTTACTTATTGTAGTTTTTCACGTCTGGTAGGGTTTGTATGCGTCTAAGAATGAGAGCAGCCATAATATGGAATATAATGGCTTTGAGTTGAGTGAATTGGCAGAGTTCAAGTTCGTACAGCTCTCCTGGCAATGTGGCAATTCTAGAAACACTTAATTCACCTACATCAATTTTTCTTTAATGGAAAAGAAAATTTACCTAGCATGCTGTTGAAAGAAGTAGGATTTTCAGTCTGATTTCAATCTCACTAAAGCAGAATATACAACAAAAGAAAGTAATATAATTTCACAAATGAAGTGAAACTATGCAGGGGAAAAAAATGTTTGGTCTCCTGAGACTTCATGTGAAATGAAAAAGGGGCTTGAGAAGAAGTTACTAACTCTGGAGAATTGAGCATGCACAGTAATTTCATCAGACATGTTGACCTTCCTTAAATAGTATTGTACTACTTAATTAATTAATTGAATTAATTAAAAAAATAATTTATTCTGATTTGTGGCCAAAGCCCTGCAAGTAAATTTTACCTTTCTCCAAAGCAGTAGTTTTTCTCAAGCATCCTGTTGCTTGCATGCAGTATAACATAAAACTGGAGTAAAAACCGTTTATTTGTTCCTAATACAAAGACTTTTTTTTTTCAGTTGAATTTTAAAAAGTGCATGTGGACCAGCACTAATTAAGATTGCGTGGGTATCTTATCTTGACGTGCTGGAGAGAACAAGTTTCCAAAACACCCTGATCTGGTCATAATTAATCATGACAAGGATCCTGCAGAGCTAAAAGTGATTAGTTTCAGCCTAATTAAAGGTCACTGTCATTTATGCTTTTGGTCTTCATCAGATAGATCAAGTTATCTTATTTTTTAGTGCAGGCAGAAAATAATTAAAGATGACGTAAAAGCATGATGCATCCACACTTTTTCCAAATCAGTAAGATTAAGAAGTGTAAAAATATTACTTATAGCACAGACCTGAACACTTTTCAGAGAATTAACTATAGATATAAGATATTCTTATATGTATAAGAAAAATAATTTCTTTGAGAGGAAAAGAGATGAGAAAACTATTTTGGGACATGTAGAGAAGTTAACTAAGAATAGAATCATCATACCATGGTGTGCAGGAGATAATTATGGTACACAAATGAAGTCTCCCCTAGCAATAATGCCAGATACTGTATACTCTAAACATTTTTACAACCTTGTCAGCCACCCATACAGCACATCTTGGAAGATCATGTAGATATTTTCTGACAAATCTGAGTTTAAAAAACATACTGTGTTGAGAAGATAACGGAAAAGGCAAGTTACTGTGGAAAACTGTCAATGTGTTTTGCCAGCCCAGCTTCCTGGGACAGCCATGATCTTTGATGCAAGCCCCCACACTAAGGCACATCTGTGTCATGGGGTTAAGAGAATGTTCAGAATTACTTTAGTGAATAACATATATCACTAGAAGTGGTACCTTATAGAGCTCCACAACAGCCTCTGTGCTTTCATAGTCATCTTCCTCTTCCAGCTGCCACTGTGCCTGCCAGTGTTTCTCTAACAGATCATGGTAAGCCTGAAAGAAACATAACAGATATATTTAAATAGCTGAACATGCTGTTTAGATGGCTCTTTGTGACACTCTCCCTACCCTTCCCCAGACCCCAGAGGGTGATGAGACACTGGAACAGGTTGCCCAGTGAAGCTGTGAATGTCTCCTCCCTGGAAACATACAAGGCCAGGCTGGATGGGGCTTTGAGCAATGTGGTCTAGAAGGAGGTGTTCCTGCCTGTAGCAGGGGGATTGGAACTAAGATGATATTAAGGATCCCTTTCAACCCAAACCATTCCATGATTCAATGCTTCTGTATGAATTTTTCTTCCTCTCCAAAGAGTCCATGGGCTCAAGGCCTTCTGTATTAGGACAAAAGGGTCTCTACTGAGGCAGTAGAAAGTCTTACATTTCTGTTCTTTGTTATTTGCACAGAGGTATTTCCTAACATTAAGAACTATGTTCTCTTCTGCAGCATAAAGAACAGATTGTCACCTCTGCCCATTTCTTCTCAGCCTGTCATAAGCAGCTCATTACTCTATATTTTATCCAAGATAAATTATTAGTTTTCTAAGGAATGCAAAATAGAGCATTTTCCAAAAGCACTGTGGCTGTAACTTTCTAGGAAGTTCTTCCTGCTTTGACACAATTTTGAAGCTTTGTTTAACAAAGTTGGGAAGTGTTGGGGAATTATGTACGCTTAGAAAATACATTCAATAGCTACAAAAATGTGTGGTAGAATTATTAGTCCCAAGTTACGAAAAGGCAATGAAGTAAAATGTGCTTTAGCATTCTAGAGTGACTCAAACCTTTTGTTTGTTCAGATGTGAAAGGAGTTTTGAAGAGAACTATGCCTGACAGATGTGGCATACAAGAACAGTAACAGAATTATCTAATTCACACAATATAATTAAAGAACTTGGCCTGCAGTACAAGATTGCATTGTAGAGATTAACAAAGTTTGACAGTTTGCTACAGTTGGAATCTGAGTCTTCTCCAATAGCAATTTATCTAAGTTATTAGTCTGCATCAAAAGTTTAATGCTTCTGGAAATAACCACTTTAACCTTAAATAATTTCTCTTCATGAAAATGAAGGATTGATTTTTTTTTCTTCTTAATAACTTGGCTCTGTGGTTTTCAGCAGTTATGGGAGTTTTGCAGTTGTCAGCATTTTACAACTGAGAATTCTGATTTTGTGTACATTCTGAACAATAACAATAGAGGTGGAAAATATGGCCAAGAAAACACTACATTAGTCATCACATACAATATTAAATTATCTATTGCAAACCTCTTATAAGGTATCCTGCCAGTGTTCATAATCAGTTTTCCCTCTGTTTACGTGAAATTTAACAGTCCTTAGAGCCTCTGTAATTTCGTTCATAGAAAGGTTCAATTAAATCAGTGCAGCTTGCTTTATTCTATAAGGTTGGTCAGATACTTTCACCCAGAGATTTCCTATATTGAACCAAACACAAAGTATCAAAATAAATGTTTTGGATGAAACACGTGGTCTTAGCACTTGCTTCCAATGTGAAAATTCCAACACTGAAAAAAAACCCAAGGCAAGCTTAGACGTAAGCTTTCCTACCTGTGCTGATGATTCATAGCAGAACCTAAAAATTCTGATTTTATGGAATTGAGAGAAATCTGAAGCATGTTTTGCCTTGAAAAATCACAGAATCATATAATCATTAGAGTCAGAAGGGACCTCTGAAATGTATCTAGTCCAACTCCCCTGCACTGAACAGGGACACCACAGCTAGATCAGGCTGTCCAGGGCCTTATCCAGCCTCTCCTTGAAAGTCTCCAGGGACAGTGCATCAACCACATCACTGGGCAACCTGTTCTAGTGCCTCATTACCCTCACTGTAAAAGATAAAGGAACGTTTCTATGAACCTACCTTAAGAAAATCATTTAAATCTCCAATATGAAAAGCTTTAGTAAGGAGAATCCCTTGTTCAGTTTTCTGTCTGTGTTTGAAGTCTTCTCTCTTCTTTGCACGGCACTCCAGTCGTTTCAGGATGAGGTCTTTACTTTGCTGGATGCATTCTGGAACATGAAATACAAATGATTAGATACTGTAACTCCACAGGGAGAAAGTAGCATCTGCTACTGTCACACAACATAAGCTCACAGAAATCTGTTAGTGAACAAAATAGGCAAGAAACTACTACACAGAATTTCAAAGATGTTTCTTACTATGAAAAACTTCTCAGATGCAAACTTTTGGGCACTTAAATCTATCCAGCTGATGACTGTGAAGAGGAGAGGAACCTGGAGGTGTTGGTTGATGCTCAGCTGAACATGAGCTATCAGTATGCCCAGGTAGCCAAGAGGGCAAACAGCATCCTGGTCTGCATTAAAAATAGTGTGGCCAGCAGGAGCAGGGAGGTGATCATCCCCCTGTACTCAGCACTGGTGAGACCACACCTTGAGTACGGTGTTCAGTTTTGGGCCCCTCACTACAAAAAAGACATTGAGGCTCTGGAATGTGTCCAGAGAAGGGCAGTTGGGATTGTTTAGTCTGGAGAAGAGGAGGCTCAGAGGAAACCTTATTGGACTCTACAACTTCCTGAAGGTAGGTTGTGATGAGGAGGGGTTTTGGCCTCTTCTCCCAGGCAACAAACAGGACCCGAGGAAATGGCTGCAAATTATACCAGAGGATGTTTAGATTATACATAATGAAGAACTTTTTCTCTCAGAGAGCGGTCAGGTACTGGAATGGCTGCCCAGGGAGGTGGTGGAGTTACTGTCCCTGGCAATGTTCAAGAGGCATCTGGATGAGGAGCTACGAGATATGGTTTAGTAGCTTGTGGTAGCAAGGGTAATGGGAGGACGGTTGGACTCATGATCCTGAAGGTTGTTTCCAACCTTGTGATTCTATGATTCTATCTTTTCTTTTTTGGATTACTACTGACCTGCACTCTCACCTTCACTGGTACTGCTTTTGCGTTGATGATGAGTTCAATACAAGAAACAGATTCCTACTGGCAGCACCCCAGCCAACTTCCCCCTCCTGCTTTAGGAAGGTCCAGAAGTGGTTCATTACCTAATTGCAAATAAGCAAATGCTACTTCAAGGACAAGGGCAACAACAAATGGTGGGGAAAACAGGTCCAGAGGAACTTCAGCTCCTATTAGTTTGAACTTGGATGTCAGGTATATCAGGCTTCCAAAGTGACTATTTCAAGAACCTGCAAATGTTGTCAAGGTTCCTCCAGTTTTGCATGAATACTGTTAAATATTTGGGACCCAGTTCTTGCTGCTTTCATCCTTCCTCTTGCTCTAAGTGATTTACAAATTCATAAGTCTACCTGAACCCCATCCTACAGAGTAGAATTGATACTTATGATGTTTTCTCAGTATTTCATATCACATTGCTTGTCCACCTAAGAATCTTAGTTCCCTCTACGCACTCCATCCCAGATCAGTAATTCACTCTAGACAAATGTAGATAAATGGGAATTCAAAAGAAGAGTCAGATGGAGTTGATTTAACTGGGAGGAATTATTTGTGGAGAATTATAGATTCATACAATCACTGAGATAGAAAAAGACCCTTAAGATTACCAAGTCCAACTATTACCCATCATTACAAGCCCACCATTAAACCATGACCAATCCACATGTCTCATAAATAGCTCCAGGGATAGCAATTCCACCACCTTCCTTTGGGCAGCCTGTTTCAATGCTTAACCACTCTTTCTGTGATTAAATTCTTCTTGATATCCAATCTAATCCTTTGATCTGAGGAAAGAGATGGAAACCCACCTCACTAAAACCTCATTTCACATAGTTGTAAAGAGCAGTGAGGTCTCCCCTCAGTCTCCTTTTCTCAAGACTAAACATCCACAGTTCCTGCACCTGCTCCTCACTGTGCATGCTACTTTCTCCATGTTCCTTTATCATACATGGTCACAGACTGATGACTCACTGACAAAACATTTGAAAGTGCTCTGAAAACACAGGAAAGCCTCAATAAAAATGACCCCTGAACAAATGTAGGAATCATTACTTTTTAAACGCTACTTGATTCTTTCAACTTTCTTGTTTGTTTCCTAGGAGCAAAGCCTCTTGCTGGCTCTGTGCTCCACTTGTTAATTATAGGTACAGTATAACTGATGTATTAAGGAGCTCATAACCTATGTCAGCTCTCCAGAGTTTTTTTTTCTCAAGCTTATTTCACTTGAATGTGAAATTAGGATGTTGCTATCTAATGCCCTTCTGCATATTTAAAACTATGGCTATAAACACTGACTTTACATAAAATCAAGGCCTTGACAGAGTTTTCTGCTTTAGAACAAGAGAAATAATGCTAAATGGAAGGAAAAATAGGCACAGGATTTAGCTCATTTTTAAGGGAAATCAGTGCCTGAACATAT